ATTGCTCTCTAAATTAGTAGTTTTAGGGGACGTTATCAGGTAAAATAAAGGTCATTGGATAAAGTTAGTACCGCATAACAAACCACGAACAGCATATTAATGTTTAAACCCGTTCTATTAATGCATGTTTATCCTTTGTTGTGTAATAAGAGGGAAATACTTCTAAACAGAGGTTAAATATAACATTGGGGAGTGTGATAGTTGTAATTGATAAAATGAGAATATCGGTTTCAATCCATATTAAATGTGCAATAACGGGGAAAAATCCTTATTTTAGATTTCAAATTTGAGTAAGGAAAAACGTATTGTTGGCGTTTTTTATTCATTGTGTTTCTGTTGACTATTACCTGTCTATATTATGATTTAGCTCAGCTGATTTGTATTGATAGGAAAGGGAGATGGAAGTTTATAAGTAAGATTAAAAACATGCTTAAAACGGCAGCAAGCCGTGTTCTAGATCAAATCACACTAGGCTAAATGGGGTATTATAAATACCATAACTGTATTATATACTAACTCCTATATATAATTTATCCCGTTTTTGTTTCCTTTATCTCTTTCAACACAAGAAGCACAAAGAGGATTCGGTGGATCCTGAAGACTCCTGCACTGATGCTGTACCCTCATCAGTCTCAGCTCCTTGGATTTTGCAAGACTTTACTTGCTCCCTATTTTTAATAAACATTAAACTTCCCAGTGTTGGTCTTTGTGGAAAAAGTGCAGATACACCTAAGTATGATTAGCACACAAGTTCTATTTAGATTGCTCCTGACTTGAGCATATTTTCTGTGTCTGACAACATAGAGGAAAGGCCAGACAACATGCTTGACGTGCAGTTTATTAGACATTTATAAATCCCATTGTGCTAATTCAGTGCAAAAGTGTATATATAGGTCATTGACAAATAAACAAAGTCTAAAATCTTTTCAAAACTGATGTAATGTATATTTTTGTGTCATGAACAATGTATTTGAACAAGTTTCAGTTGTGAACATTTCTAAGTGTTTAAATTCACCTGAAAGTGTACCAACCTACCCATAACTTTAAAGCAATTACCAGTATTTGATAGAGATCTAAAAGGATCATTATGGCTCCTCTGGACAATGCATTATCATGCACACTGCAATTACCATAATAAGAGAGCCATGTTTGCAGTTGTGCCCCCCCGACATACAAATTGCTAGACAAAAGGTTTTCAATTATCAGCTATAAATCTACTGAAATGTATAAAATTTGTTTATATGAAAGGTTAAAATGATGCCATAGAATTTCATTTTTATTTTTTTTATGATTAAAACACCATTTAAATTAGTATTTTAGTCTGTTAATTTGTGCAGACAGTTACACAACCTGACATTTTGGGGGGTTTGAGATAACAAAACATAAAATATGTATTATCTAAATGTACTAAAAATTTATTTAAACTAAATAGGTTTTATAGATTTAAGTGATGTATGTCATGAATTTATCAAATTATGTTAAGGAAATAATGTACTTGGACACTTAGAAAATAATGTATGTGTGCATAATCATGTTTTGTTTTAAAATGAAATATGTATTCATTTATATAGTAATAAGTGCATAAGCATTGTAAACATTACGATGAATGCAATTTTACTTGTTTGCAATGGCATTTTAAGACAATCACCTGTTTCCTGCAAGTCTCCTGTCCTTGTGAAACCATAGTGAACATTACATGATAACCCTTAAATAACATACAAGTTTAAGAACACAAAAATACTTCAAAACAACTGCAAAACGGTCTTTAACCAAGGTAAAGTTAGCCAGAAAATATGTTAACAAAGGCAGGCAACACTGGTTGACCACAATAAACATTAAATATCAGCAGATTTTTATCTTTTAAAAACAATATTGCTGTAACTACATACACATACTACATCCAAATGTCAATGTATTATATACATATTGTAAACCAACGCATTTATTGACTACAAACTACCAAAAATCACAGTTCAGCTCTCTACCTCCATCGATTTGAATTGGCGCCGAAGCACTTCCTGGAACTATCTGAGGTCTACGCGAATCACGTGACAACCAAGCATTTAGAACTTCCGTTGTGGCTCTGAGGCCTCGTTTACACTGTCAGTGAAATGTGACCCAATTCCGATTTTTTACTCATATGCGACACAGATCGGATGTGTTCTATGACAGTGTAAACAGGAAAAAAACGCATGCATTCGGATATTTCGAGATCGGTTTCAGGCCTCGTTCATATGTGGAAATAAATCAGATATGTGCCAATGCGACTGTCATGTAAACAGGCAGATCGGATTTTCTGAGGCATTAGGCTTCGTCTCCACGGTTTAATGACGAGAGAAACCCCGACGCGCATCTGCGAAGGGACGGATGGCCCGACGAAACATTGTGTGGTCGTATAGTAGAGGAATGTGGACACTTGACACAACATATCAAAGGTTGGCTTGCTCATCCTAAAATTTCGGACCCACTGCTCCTCGTTAAAGCCTGCCACGATCTCATGAAAGTGCGTTTATTGCACGGATTTTTTTCTTTTCACGTGGCATTTATGCCAAAAATAGTTTTTTTGCGTGTATGATACGCACTTTATGGCGTTTAATACGCACGTTTACAGTGCGTGTCATATGCAAGCAAAAACTATTTTTGGCGTATAAATGGCACATGAAATCAAATTCGTGCTATAGACACTCACTTTCATGAGATCGTGTTGTAGGCTATGTTCCCACCAGTCCTGAGATCTCGCTGCGCGTTCGTCCATCTGTGCAAGAAGACCCCTTTAAACATGCGCGATGTTTCGGATCTATGTCAAGTGTAAACACATGACTCGGATATGGGTGTTATGCAGCACGTTTGAGCTTCGGCAAGAACCAATGAGGTTCATTCTCGTGTTACGCAGCACATTTAAAGCAACACCAAGGAACTTTTCCTCAGCGGTCGCCCTACAGGTTGGAAGCGGAATTGTCCATTACCGCTGTCATAAATAATTTAGCCTACCGCAGCCTACTGTCGTACGCGCACGCTCGCTGTTTATCCAGCACCGGCTTTGGAATCAACAATGGCAGACATCCCAACCTGCAAGAAGTCATTTCAGGGAAGTATATCTTGGTCACTGGATTGTTGACGGGGGGGGGGGGGGGGGGGGGGGGGGGGGGGTGGCGGGTTGAATAGCTTTCGTGAGGGACACTCGCAAGGTCTCTCGCTCTCTCCCTCTCTGCCGTGCTCGCGCTATGTATGTTATGCACACAGTATGTTCTGTCTCGCATGGGCGCTCTAGATTCCGGCAGATTTGAACTAATTTGCGGGCATCGGGGAGACGCTATAGACTTGGGATGTCTGCAATGGCCATAGACAATTTGAGGAAGCGGTGGGGGAAGTGACCTATGCCGTAAAGCAGTCGAGTTTTGTAGTTCTTTTTGTGCTCGGGTTACTACCCGAAACCCGAAGTTACATAGTGCGAGTAAAAGCGATACAGACCACGTCAGGCTATGCAGACGTGTCATTTAACCTATTGTAAGTCGATGTACCATCACAAGGGTCTTGGAAATATATTATGAAGGTTGAAAAGTTCCATAGTGTTGCTTTAAGCTTCGGCAAGAACCAATGAGGTTCATTCTTGTGTTACGCAGCACGTTTGAGCTTCGGCAAGAACTGATGAGGTAGTGCTGGCCTGGGCGGTATACCGGTTCATACCGCTGTTTTTTTTGTTAGGATATGTATTTTTAATATGCCGCAATACCGGTGTATGTCCTTTAATGTAACAACGATCGGAACGCGGTGCGAGAGGGGTCGCTTTTCGCTGTTGCACTGTGGTGAGGGCACAGGTGTATGTGTTACTAGCGTGACTGTGAAGATGGATATAGGCCGTGAGACAGAGGGTTGATTGGTACCATTTTGAGGGATTAAACCGCATGGTGATTTTTGTGTAGGTATGGTATGGTATGACCCTGTATTTGAAAAATGTGTGATAGCATTAGATTCAAGGTAGTTTTTGGTTACGGAGGAGTCGAGGACGATTTTCAAACATATGTCAAAAAAAAGGATAAATGAATTTATCTTTAAATAAATTTTAAATTTTATAAAAAAATTATAAATTTTTGTAATAAAAAAATGATAATTTTTTTAAATACATTTTTAAAATTATAAAAGGATAAATTTTTCTCTCTTGTAGTCACTGAACACCTTACCTTGAGGTAGGATGATATAAGTGTTGATTTCTAATGAAAGCTACCATGGATCGGATGCTATCACACATTTTCCTCCACTAAAGCTGTGTACCTTCATGAAAATCAAAAAGAAATTTAATCCCTCAAAATGGTACCGGTAGCCCAAATTTGGGGTCCCGTCTCATGGCCTAATACTAGTGTGGATTTTTTTCTACAATATTCAATCATGACTCATGTAAAATAGGGCATTCTAAGTGCAGTATTTCCTCTCTCAATCAGTAGAAAATGTGGTTAACACACAGTTATGCTTGAAAAAAAAAATACCGTCATATACCGTGGATTTTTGGTCATACCGTCTAGTACTACAAGGGTCATTCTCGTGTTACGCAGCACGTTTGAGCTTCAGCAAGAACCAAACCAATGAGATCTATTCTCGCTCATCAAGCAAATATGCTTCATTCTGTTTATGTTCGCTGATCAGTTTATATGTGAATAAAAGCCTAAATTCAATCTGTTCATCATAAAGCGATCGTGTCTCTTCAGAATATTTGGACTGAGTTGTTAAATTCATATGGATTAGTTTTACAATCACTTTTTGAAATTTTTGAAGTGTCAAAGTGGTATTGCATAGCTGTCAATGGAGGGACAGAAAGCTCTCAGATTTTATTAAAAAGATCTTCATTTGTGTTCCGAAGATGAACAAAAATCGTATAGGTTTGGAATGACATGACAGATGATGACAGAATCTTTTAAGTTTTGGGTCAACCTTTGTGTTCATTTAAAAAAAAAAATCTTACTATCAATAAATAATGGAAAATAGTGGAAAAACAAACAGTCATATTTCATTTTTTAATGATCAGTTTATTGTTTTGAATCAAATGAAAGCTGATTGACATTAGAAAATGAATAAATAAGTAAATTTTTAGTCTTAAATGATATTAATTCCTGATGACTTCCTCTGATCATATAAGTGAAGATCATTGGTAGCTTACAGAGTGAACAGAATAACAGGCAAACAAATTAAAAACTTGCAAATGATTATTCACGAAACACACTGGCAAAATGTTTAGGACAGCTGTATGTAACACGTCATCAGGCATTTAGCAAACAGTATTTAAAATAGACCATAACATTCTGTTAAAAAATTCATCCAAGGCATGAAATTAAATCAAATTTCATTTTTGAACAATCAAGTCCATTAACTATATGGCTAAACTGTTTTGCTGGTTTTCATTTGCTATTTCGGACCACATCCCTGAGCTGCCAGGCCCTTAGATTTGCATCTCAATGAAATGATCACAACAGGGGACGCATGAGGTTTAACTGAAAACTTCTGAGGTAAAAAGTGAGAAAACGTTTTTTTTTTTTTACAAACAAACATGGTGTTTGACGGACTGTTGAAGAGCTGATGAGAATCAAAACAGCTTATGCATACAGCTAACTAGCATCTTTTCTTTGATTGCACCTAACTAAATTTTCCACAAGGTACCGGCAAAATAAAGTGGGTTCAAACATGAGCGTTTGCTCCGAAGGCCAGCCTTCATCTTTGCTGGTGCATCAGATGTGTTCGCATGACTGTCCGTGTTGATACTGCGGTACCTTGAAGGATTGGATTCAGTGCACAGAGCTTTGTTTTTAGGGCACTTTTCAGTTGTGCATCAGATACTGGTGGAAATAGATGCCGAACAGGCTGCTAATGAGTTGACAGGCCGCGACCCACCATGTGAGAAAGGCGAAGATGCCCTTGAAGAAAAGAGGCGTGAGGACTCCACGTAAAGCAGAGAACAGCTCGATCAGGTGGGCTACGGTGGCCTGGACGTCCTCCTCCATGTCCTCCATGTCCTCGTCGTCTTCCACTCTTGGGGCTGGTGGAGGGGTGGTTGGAAGTATGGGAGCAGGGGTTACACCCGGAGTCTCTGCTCCAAAGCCCCACGAGAAGTCACCTGAGGGGTACATTAGAATGTTTGAATACATTAAAAATTCTTTAAGAAAATTCAAATCAATAAATGAAAAATATATTAATAAAAAATTTTTTTTTTTAATCTATAAATAAGTATATAGTAATAAATATAAAATAAATAGTTACACATAAATAAAATATAATTACTTTAATTTTAAATTTTAAAGCTGCAGTCCGCAGTTTTTCCTCTTTGTCGCCATCTCTGTTCGAAATCTGCAATTGCAGTCATTCGCGGGAATTATCAACTTTACGTGAGTTGTACCTCGGCACGGCACAGCGCGGATGAATCCAATGTTTTGAGGAGAATGTGCGGCTGTCAGTCACGCGCCGGTGTGGATACTGTCATTCACAAATCACAGATTCTACTTTTTGGAAGTATGACCAACAAAAGAATTTTCACCCTAAAATGTCATCTGTACTAGTAAGTAACATCCACTTTTGTTCTTCTGACCAACTAACTGAAAAAAAGCATTGGAATAAATGGCGCTGATTAAATCTAACGATCGATTATCATATCACGTCAAACCGTGCAAATTATACTGTGTTCTCAAATTGTTAATGTTAACAACATCAGCATTGCGTGACTACATTTAATTAATTAGTCGTTTGAACCTTTCTGGATCCACCATCAAATTGATAAGTTTAATTATATCAAGTGCTGTGAGAAAAGGCTATAAATCTCCACCTCCAACATCCTCACACCCAATATAGCCGACTAGCCGAGACTCCTTATGTGTACAGATGTGACGTAATGACGCAAAGACATGCTCGAATCTCCCACGGAAATACACTGGAATTAAAAACATTATTACAAGCTTACTGTTTTGAATCGAGCTAAGGCAAGCAGATAGTTTTGAACACTGGCTGGTTATGTACTTGCTCAAATTTATTTAGGATAATTTTTGACCCAAAAAAGTTACGGACTGGAGCATTAACTAAATAAAAATATTAAAATACAAAACAAATATAACAGTAAATATAAAAAATAAATTAAATAATAATCAATAATTCAAATAAAAGCATTTAAAAAAATAAAAATATATATAAAATAAAGATTTGCTCACAAACTAAAATCGTCAAATTTACATTATTAAAAATTATTAGACTTTAGATTTTACATTATTATTATTACCTCATTAATACTGTTATTTAAAGGTAACTTTTTTGTTCAAAATTAACTACATTTAAATAATGAGTCAATACACATTCAGTCCTACAACCAACCTTTTTTTTTTCTTACCCTGATTCACTATAGTAAGCCTGTTGTAAGCGTTTATATTTTAGATCGAGCGGGAGGTTTTTTGCGGGACATTGCGTACATACATCACTCGCCCATGCTTGTCTCGTCATATCCATAAACAGAAACTTTGCTCCGGCTACTTTGACGTGTGTATGGTGTGGGAGTGGCATAGGTTAGTTGTCGCAGTGAGCGAGAAAGGTTGACATGGAGCAGCTAAATCTCGAACCTCCGGGGAAATCACACATTTTAAACCAACGCTGAACAGAGAAGAGTCTTCTGGTAAAAAGAGAACGCCACAGAGCTTGTAATAAAACAAGAATCAACATTAGCTAAGCTTTTCGGAGATGGCGAGAACTGAAGGATTAGAAATGTTGTAAAAGCAACGTGGAGATGGTGTTTTTATTACTCAACAGGTGATTAACGTATTTTATTGAACAGATAATTTGCCAAATGTAGCTCTCTAACAAGAGTTCATTGTAAAGCATTATCTTTTATGAAGGGTCATTTCATTATGGTTGTTGTAGCTGTGCGCTGGAATTTATTTTCAAGGAAGTACCAAGTCTATTAATGGGTGTAGCTACAGTAATGTCTTCAGCTTGAGATTCTTTCCATCTAAACTGGTTATATATCTTAAGCCTAGTAGTGAATGATTTATAAGCATATAACCATATTCAGTCAAGCAGAGCTGAAGCACAACCAAAACAATGTTCTTCCACAAAATGCATGCAGTTTTGTGTACCTTCAACTGCCAGTGACAGTGTAGTGACCCACCTAAAGATTTGAGTGCCAAAGTTGAGAAAAGCACAAGCAGAATAGGTATAAGGTACTGGAGGGTGACCACAGTCAGGTAGCAGAAAACTCGTGTCACCTACATAAATGGGTTTGAAAACATTACATCATCGTATTTATTACATCATTACAATGAATTTATAGGAAACATTAATACTTTCCACTCTGTGATTTGTAATGTTTCGTATACATAAAACACTTCTACGCATTTCAACCCCACCTTCCTCTGGATGTCAATGGCAGCGATACGCCCCGCCTCTTTCTTCATTTGCTCCACCCACTTCTGAGAGAGGTTAAGGTAGGCCTGCAGGTGGTAACGTGTGAGCAGCAGCTTCAAAACACACAGCACCACGATGGTCCATAGACGTACCGAGTTAAAGGCAGAACTAGAAAGTCTGAACAAAAGAAGACAGGAATTATACACAAATGTCAAAATATGACAAATCATTGAAATATTTAAAATATAAATGAAAATGAAAGCAATATTTAAATTATAAAAAAATCTCAAATAAATACAAATATTAAAATATGAAATAAATAATATATAAAATACATAACAAATGGGGAAAGAATTCAAAAGTTCAACTAAAAAGCATTCAAATACAAAATAAATGATTGAAAATAAAATATTACATATATATATAAATAAAATTTGCTCAACTTACAAGGTAACTGAGGTCTTTCCCATGGGGGCGTTCTCTAGGAAGTCTCGAGCAATGGGTTTAATCCACATTACAAGAATGACCAGTGGCGATAGAAAACCCATGTGCAAAAGAATCCTAAAAGGGAAAACAAGTTGCTGTGGCATATCAAATCAAACTTTCGACATCATCAATGCAACTGTCAATTTTGTTCATGTTCAATCCTTATACAATGCCATTTTGAGTGTCTTACTGAATGATTGGACGGTCTGCGTTCATCTGAACGGCGTCTAGGTGAGTTTGGGCCAATCGCAGTCCAGGGAATGCAAGGAGAGCTCCAATGAAGGCACAAAGGACAGCCAGCCCCAACTTCACTGACAGTTTGGTGAAGGGAACTCTGTTAAAATATTGTCAGTATTTTATTGATAAAAGAATACAGAACATGACTAATGATGTTTAACCATTGATGTATAACTTACGACCACTCATAGCCATGCTGCTTGGCAAAGACCTCGAAATTGTCAAAAAGACTGGTAAATCCTGCAAAAAATTGATAAAGAAAGATTTCAGTGGTAAAAATGTCCTTTCACTTCTAGAAATACAGATCAGATAACCACATACCGGGCTCAAGGCCAAACTCCAGGTAGTCTTCTCTCACAACAAGAATCAGCATGGCAATAAGCAGAGATAAGAAGCCGAAAGCAAGACACACAGAGCGCTCGCCGCCCTCCTCAGAGCGGAAGTAGTGGCTCATAAGAAGATGCAGCGTCCTCCTGAGAACTTCAGTCAAGGACAACAAGACGTTACAAAAAGTTATATTCTTTCTTAGCATGAGGTAAGTCACATCTGAGTTTCTCAGGTAGCTTCAGGTCTGTTAATCCAAAGGACTGCAGTGTTGGAGGATACAGGCAGAAGAAAACAGTCAGCACACACCAGATGGAAGCGATATTGACTTCCTTGCTGGCATCCACTAAACTACAGTAGCCTTCGGTGAAGAGGTAGATCCCGGTCGCATAGACGGCAAAGTCAATCAGCCACTGGTACTCCACAAAGAACCGCAAAACTGAGAGGAAGAGAAAAGGTTAAGATCATCCGAGGAGCTTTTCTTCAAGCAAAAATCAGATCAAACTGTTCAGGAAACCAGATAAAGACCTACCAAGTGCATCCAAGACATTTACAGGCGCATTCTCCAAGTGAAGGTCGATGTCTTTCGGAACTGTGAGCGGCTTGGATTCTCCATGTCCATTTTGTCTCCTGGAAACAGCAAGAGGTCGAGCAGAAGTTATCGAATTCCCCAACAGAAAAGTAACAGTGGCAACAGTTGCACTGAATCAAGCTCACACCTGTCTCGCCTGCTGTTCTTAGGAATCTGCTTCCCTGCGAGGGCGCACAATACGCCTTCAGATGGATGTTTGAACCTGAAAAGGCTGAGAAAATCAACAGGCTGGGTATTAGAAAGAGCCAGGTGTTATATATAAGTCTACATGGAAAGGATGTGTATTACTCACCTGCCGTTACATAAGAGCCAGCGTGCGAAGGAGAGATGTGGGGCCATTCTTTGCATTATGCTGACCGCCAGCAAGCTCACCACCAACTGAACCCCCATCAGAGCCTTAAAAGAGAATAGATATAGACATATAGAGAATGTACATTGGTACAGAAAATAATGTCGACTCATACCTTTACAGTTTATAAAAACGAACTTAAATTGCGTTTACAATTTACATTAATGATTTTACAAGTCACTTTGATTTGCATAGCGCTTTAAAAAAAAATACAGATTGTTTCAAAGCAGCTTCACAGTGATAAACAGGAAAATAATGATCAATGATGCAAACAGTTTAATTCTGCTGTAAAGCAGCTCTAAAAAAGACAATAGTGTCATTATTCAACTGAAGGCATTTCAATGTTGATTCAATTCAGTTCAATAACAGTGTCGATGTAGACCAGCTAAAGCAGCTGGTGTTATCTTCCAGCTCAATTCAGTTTAAGTTTGGTTCTTACCCAATAGTGTCAGTGCAGTCAAATATTACTGAATATTAAGTTGTCAATGTCTGTGTGTGGATGTTCATGGGGCAAAGCGTTCTGGAGAGTTTAAAAATAGCAATGTTAGCTCATTTTTTGTTAAAGCATATATATATGTATATATATATATATACAAAAAATGTGTGTTATTTAAGCATGTATAAATCATGGTTGTAGAGGTGGGACTACTGATAGGCGGATGAACATACCTTGGATTTGATTCCAAGTCAACAGAATTCTGGTATTCTTGCGCGAGTCGCGGTAAAGCTAGCTACCGTGTTGGACGGCTTTATTGCACATTAGAGTTGAAAATTGAATTAAGTTTCCAATGACAAGGTTAGTAAGTGGTTTTATCACAATAGTCTCGTTTTAACATGCAAGTTATAATGTTTAAGTCTCGTGGATTTACTTCCAAAAATATTGTATTTTAACGTTTGTCACTGAGACATGCCTTGTCCCATAGAGTTCCATAGTAAAAAAAAATACAGTAAACGCGATTTTTGTTAGCTTTACAAATTTTTGTTTTGTTTTGAGATTTTTGTTTGCCTTGGTCGAAAGGGCTTTCTGTGCTAATAAACAGAATGTCAATGGAGTTTACTTGTTTTGAACAGAGACAATTCCTGTAACTCTGGTTCTGGTGTTTTTACATCACTTCACTACCAAATCTATTTGACTATGGGCCTGTGCCAGTCACTCGAGATGAGCACAAGAGCCATGCTGTCAAAGTGAGCAGGTGCTGGCATTGCAAAACCCCCATGACATGGGGAGGCATGAGCAGTTAGCTAACATGCTACAACTAACCATCCTGTAGAACACTAAAGAGCTACTATTGAGATCTGAAACACAGAAACAGTGCAAATGCAATGCCAGAGTCATTAACACAAGTAAGACAAGTAGTACAGTGGATCCAAAATACCCCTAAGTTAACCAGTCTACAAGCTATCACTGTGCTAACATGATTTCAGTAACGTTACAGAAGATACAAACAACAATCAACCGGATCGTGTAAAAGAGCACATTTACAAATCAGTTTAATGGTTGAAAAAATATATATACTAACCATCTTCGTTAGGTGAGTTTAATGAATGAGTTTATGTCCCATCGTGGTGACACTTGAGTGTTCGAACAGCTGAAGGAGTATTTTGATGACGTATGCTACAATCGCTCGCTCTGATTGGGCCATGTCGACGCCGCATGAGAGGTGCAATTCTATTGGTCGGACTGGCAACGCATCTACAATTTGATTGGTCCTCGTGATGGAACTGTAAATGTCGTTAGCTTTTCTTCAAGGACAGAAATAAAACTGTGGGAGGGTCAAGATGTGCAAATGGAGAGGTGTTGTGGCAACACAAACGTTCAAACGGCAAATACATTAGCTTTTCTGACCGTTTTATAGGGCTAAGTATTTATTTCATATAGCCTACCTTTCAAATCTGGATTTATCACCGATGACACCTCTAAATTAATTTGGAATTAACTATGTGGGCTTGAATACTTTCTTTTGATGTTGGTATTTTGTATAAACGTGAGCTTTCTGCAGTCAAATGTTCTTGTCAAACCACATTTTACTGTTGGAAAATTCATAAACAGCCAATATGTCAATGGAAATGTTTGTTAAATTTTTCTGTGATTTTTAGCAGCATTATTTAAGGTTTGTATAACATAGGACCTGCTACAGCTGTTATGGTTGATGTGCAACTGCTAACAGCTGATAAGCCTGCAAATAAATCTTGCCCTCAGCTATTTTTGATCCTTCAATAGTTTTTTTTCCTACAAATGTAATGTACTGCTGCCAAATTAATAAGCTAAATTGATCCCCGAATCATGTGTTCTGTTTAGGGTTCTTGAGTTGCTATGGTTGTATGGTTCTTTGTAGATACAATTCTTGATGTTACATTAAGATCTTCATGCATGGCTGGGGTTCCCAAAAGCATTGTAAGCCTATAATAGAAACAATTGGTCTCTCTACAATATACTTAGTAGGCCTACAATGCTTTTGGGAAATGCATCCCAGATCAACATTCGGTCTAGGAAACAGATTAAAAAGGAAAATAAACTGTGGTTTTCTAAAGTACTAGCCAGAGGATAACATGTAGCCTATTTTTAAAACATAAAATGTTCATACTATGATGCTTTCCAATTCAGTGAAATTTTTTTCCTTCACATTTTTTCCCCTCTATTGTTCTTTATTGGCATAGAATGTTCCATGAAGAACCTTTATACACCTTTACCTTACCATTGGAAAAAAGGTTCTTTAGTGGAAAAGGGTTGTTTAGATGTTCCCCATACTAAGAAAAAATGGTTCTTTTAGGAACTGTTGACTGAAAGGTTCTTTGGAACCCAAAAAAATGGTTCTTCTATGGCATAGCTGTAAAACGCTTATTTTGGAACCCTTATTTTTTATTTTTTATAAGTGCTGCTTTAAAGAAACAACATCATATCATTAAAAATTACTAATAAACAAGAACCCCACTTCTTGATAAAATAGTTCTTTGTATGTAGTTTACATTTTGAGATTTGTTTTATCTAAGATTTATAAAAGATTAACCTTTAAAAAGGAGCTTTTTCCAAAACAAATACATTTGCAAAGAAATTGGCCAATAGCTTTATGACTTTGTTGGCAAAGGGACATCAATGCAAACAAAACTATTGTCTAAACCAAATAATAGTAATCCAAGAATTACAAAGGCATTTGCTCTAAGACAAGTCATGTCACGAAACTTCGATTAAAATGGCTATCTTTTCATGTTTATTTATTTTAATCACTGTAAAAAATTATGATCAATAAGTTAAGACAACATAATGTTTTTATACATTGCTTCAACTCTTCAAAATAAGTTAACCAATTTTCAACTTTTTTTATAGAATATTTTTTTGTACAAGATTCAACTCATTTTTAAAGTTAGTTTAATGTAATTTAAGTTGAAACGACTTAAACATCCAAGTTGCTTACTTAAAAATATTAATGCAGAAACTTTTTTTTTTTTTACAGTGGACGTTATAATGTGTTAACTTGTTGTTGTAATGTTGTTACCCACACTTTTTAAATGCATTTTCAACTTTATTTAATGTTGAATAAATAAATGCTTTTTAATTAAGGATCCAAGCAGTTGAGCTGTTTTCATCTCAACGCACCCTGTAGGGCTGCAGACTCATGGCTTTCACGCGACGTGCATGATAATTGGTCACGCGCATTGAGAGAGCTGAGATATGCGCTTGAACTTGACCTTCTGAATTGCGTCGCTAAAAGACATGAGTATGGCCCTTGCTCTCTTCTTATATGTGCCAATCAGTCGTTAAGACTGATGCTCAATGCTCATTTCCATAAAATCCAGTCCGGCTCCAATTAAAGGACTATGTGGCATTCTGAGGCGAGTCTTTTCCCACGGAACAGCTAGTGTGGAAACATCTCTCCACAACGACAACAACATTGGGTATGTAGTCGTGGAAACTCATTTGAACTAATGCTTTGGATATGTAGGCTATACTGAGGGTTTGTAATTCAGAAAATTCATTTTTCTTTAATTGCTTCAATTTGGACAGTATGTGTTTGCTACAAAAAAATCCTTATTTACTTTCATCTGATTGCATACGAAAAAACTGGCTAATATTTTGTTTAGGCTAATGATTTATTTCCGACGTTTTTTTACACAATTTGTAAGAAATGTGTGTCGCGTAATGTTTTGCGTTGAAGACATCTTCACTGCTTTGCTTTTAAAAAGAAACTACCATCCTAACATATAGGCTAAAGCTTGAGTGTGCAACTGATATTTCTGAAACAATTTTGTGGACTTTAGGATAAACTTCATACGTCACTATAGCCTACGTTTGAGTTTTTTTACGATCACAGGTTTTTGCTTATAGATTTGGTGTTTGACCTGTGACCTGCAGGGTCAAACAGAAATATTTGAGCAAAGGGTCAAGTGCAACCTGTAAGAGGGATGAATGGGACAACTCCTTATTATTTACTTGAATGCATTGAGCTAAAGCGTATGGAATTATCAGCCTAATATTTATTTGAATGATTATTATTTAGAATCTCAGCCTCATTTATAACAATGTTACCCTCAAATAGCCTTTGTGTCACGAATTGTTTCATTGTGTCCCAATCATATCATTTTTAATGGTTATTTTGATTTCGGTTGTTTTCACCTCAATTTTAATGTTGAGATATGCGGATCATAACATTTCTGTCTGTTCATTCATTTTGGAGCTAATACATTTTAATAATGCATGATCAACAAATTTCTCTGTCACCACTGAAACTATAGGCTATCAGGCGAAATGAGTATAATTTGTGTAGCTCTTTATACAGACATCTCGTATGGCTATTGTATATTTTGCCTAAACTAAATCATAACGTCATGATGAGCGTCTTTAAGGTGCATTTGCAGGGAAATTTTGTAATGCCACTTTTTCATGGTTTAATTTTTCAGGTTTTTATTTAAAAAATGGCATTTCGTTTTACCAGATTTTAGCCTTATAGCCTACCTTTAAAAAAAAATCTTAAAATTAGTCTTCCAATAAATTGTATTTCGAGTTTACCAGTAATAATCTACTAGTAACTTGTATCTAATTTCCCTTTATTGTCCTTTCAAAATGTTGGGCCACACAGCAAGATCATAACATTATTTATATTCATTTAAAAATGATGTGTTAAAGAACAACAGACTCGTTTATAGGCTAAGCGATTATCTTCTTACTGACTTTAATTTAGTTCGTTTAGTGACCTTCAGAATTGTGTTTGCAGTAGGCCTAACATAAAATTAAAAATACCTAGAGAGTTTAATTAATTGAATTTTAGTTCGTCTAAATGACGACGCTGTAGCCTACAGTTTGGTGCTTCGCCAATGAGCATTTAGCCCACTATTTGTAGGCTTTAAATTCACCTCAGCTAGCCTATATGAAATACTATAGATTTGGTGGTGCTACGGTTAATTCATTTATTATTTTTTGTTTAATTATAAATCGTAATATTTGCATTCAAGTGGACGCGATCTCAAAATTGGCATTTGATTTAAATCTTTAAAATATTTAGCTCCTATAACATTATTTCCTATGAACGATTTAAAAACGATTTAAAATATAGTATATATAGGCTATTTTGACACGGTTGTGATTTACACAAATGGTCTCTTGATATGTAAACATGCATTAGCCCTACGCAACGGGAAAGCTTGGTCCTTTCATTATCATCTCAACAGTTGCAGGGTCTTACCGATGGGTGTCGCTGTTTTCTGTTTGTTTCTGGGACGACGTGTTAAAAAAGACGAAATAAGCTGCAGTAGCCTATATGGGAAAAAAAGTGATTGAAGCACCAATGTTTTTTTCTTCTTCTTTTTCTCTGGGATGAAAATTAAAGGAATTAAATGTCAATACCTGGTGCGTTGAATTGTGTACTGCATCTGATTCATTTCATTCATTGTTTCTCTTTGAGTGGTGTCATTTTTTTAAATTTGATTTGGCACAGTGGCTACCTGAATTTATATAAACTATACAAATAGTTTACATGTCACAGGGTCTAGGATGTAATAATCCAAGCTTTAAATTTTGATTGTATTATCATTCTTTCTATCTTTGCATGTTGTTCAACAGAAAGAGTTAAAGAAGATTATCTGTTCTGATTCAAGCATAAATACGGATTTATGCCAGATAGAGTTTTTTTAATGAAATTCTCGGGCACAATCAATTAAGATTCCTCTAGGCCTACTTCAATCCCATTTGTTTGGCCCTATGGCTATCCATTAAAGAAAACCTTAAAAATTCTTAAGACATACACTAAGGTTTTTGTGGTATTTTAGTGTTAAATATGTGGGCCTACTCAATTTCATTATGGGGACAAAATGTCCCCACAAAGATGGCAATATCTAAAGTCCCCATGAGGGGGAATTTTTGACCTTGTGGGGACATTTTTTGGTCCCCATCAGGAAAAAAAGCTTATAAATCATACTAAGTGATGTTTTTTGAAAATGTAAAAATGCAGAAAGTTTTCTGTGATACACTGTAAAAAAAGTTGCTGCCTTAAATTTTTAAGTAATCAACTTGGATGTTTAAGTTAAATTAAACTGACAAAAAAAAATGGTTGAAACTTGAATAACATAAAAAGTTGACATTTGCTTAACTAATTTTGATGAGTTAAAGCAATATAAAACATGTTTTTATAACT